ATTAAAGCTGTGAAGCCTAGGAAATGCAGAGCAGACCATCCAAGACCACCCATTTTTCAGAATTCCTTAAAGCTTCCAGGGAGCAGAAGAGTTAATAAAACACATGAAGCTTGTTTCAAAAGCATATTTTATGTTGATATAGATAAATGTGTCCACCAAAGGAAAAGTTTGCATAACAGTTTATGTAGATGATACAACAGAGACAGTGTAAAATACCTTGGAGTGTTGAGGATGTCTTATATATGGACCATCACATTTGTGTTGTTAGGTTTCCTCTTCTCCTTTTTGTAATAACCTTTCATTTAAGCTTTGGTAGCCAAACTCTACCTCAGTTCTTTTGTTTCTGTGAAGTCCCATTGCTCTCAAGAGCACTGTTGAGGCATAAGAAACCACGCAAGTTTCTATCTAATTTTGAAAACTACTTTGCAAGCTTTCAAACTCAGAGCCTCAGGACAGTTTTTGCTCAAATATACTGGACCTTGCATACTTAGGGTCTTTCTCCAAAAGGCCTTTCCCAATCCTCATTTCAGATATCACTCCCCACGAGGAGGAAACCATAGGTGTGGCACTGGAAATTTTTTTTGCAGCAAGCCAGAAATGAATTCTCAGCATCATTAAAGTTTTCATTTCTATCTACAAATATATAAAATTATTACCAAAATAACTACTATGACCTAGCAGTAGTGGTTAATCTGTAAAATGTGTTTTGTGGCTTGTTGAACACTTTTGAAAGTAAATAAGTGCTTGTTTTTCATAACAAAATGAGTGGTTTGCTGCAGTTCGATGACTCAGGACAAAATAATGGATCTTGGAATCACTCATTGTCCTGTGTTGCCAGTGTAAATCTGGCCAAGATGCATAATGGCTGAAAGCTCTTGCAAAATTAGTGTCTGCTCAATGCCTTACATAAAATATATACTGCCTCAGGAGAGACAGCCAAGTCACAAATCTTACCACTGTCACTGGCATCCACACTGGCGATCTCAGAAGAAGTCAGCTTTCTGAATGTCATGAAAAACGAGGTGATGTCTCCAGGTCAGGACTGTGAGACAGATTGTTATTGAAAGCTTGAAGGGCTCTTGCATTTCCATTTGGAGCAGCAGGGGGGACAGGGGGGACGGGAAATGAACTTTTAAGATGGAACTTGATCAGTTCATGAAAAGAATTGTATGATACAACTGCATGTCACAGCAGAAAAATGGACGTAGTGACACAGCAAACAGCTTGGCAGTTATGATCCTGAGTGCTATTCCTATTCTGTGAGTAAAAAGAAAAAAAAGAACAAAATCATCAGGATTATCAAGGTAGCACCTTTTTATAAGCTGAACTTCACAGTTATTTTTGCAGCAGCGGTTCCTTTATTATAAGGGGACAGAACGTGAAAAGGCAAATAACATTCATTCAGTTCAGTCAGTCAAACCGGCACTTCCATACAACCTTTTAAGCAAACTGCTAAGGGCACTTTACTATCATATAGAATAAAAGCCAAAAATAAGTTTAAATGCCAAGTCAAACAAATACTTCTTGCCAAAAACTCAAAATGATATGAATAAGGACTAAGGAGTTCAGCAGATTTGAAACATAATGCTTTAAATAAGTCTTAGTCTCCAAATATACCTGTCAATATGGAGAAGAGATAATAAGTTATCATAGCAGGATTGAGAAGTGCATGCCAGAATGCGAGGAATACAAAGGCTCTGGACTGTCCCCGCCCAGAGCAAGTCCATCTGCTATGCTTATTTGTTTTTTCTCGGTGTAGGGACAATTGTAGTGGTTAGGTTCAGCGGAGCAGGCGCTAGCTGACTGCTGGTTTCTTGCAGTTTCTTCTTCTTTTCTTCTAAAGTCTGAAGAAAAGTCTTTGAAATCCTCAGAATTAAAGATACAATGGAAGTATAAAACCAAACCCATTTTTCAGAATGCTTGACCATGTTCAATTCTTGCTCAGAGATGCTAAAAAGAAGCAGAGAGACACACCTTGCTGTTTTGGTTTTACCAGTGTCATGTGGATGTAACTCTGAGGGAAGGTGTAGTTAAGCAGGTCAGCCTGAGTCATTCAGCTGATTTTAGAAAATATTGCTCTAATATCACAGTACGGAACAACTGCATGCTGGAGAGACCTGGATTTTCAGTTGTCATCAAAGCTGAGAGTTTTCTAAATGCTTACAAGAAATGATAGACTAAAACCGCTTACTAAAAATGAAGCCCATGAATGCTTCTTGCTACAAAGGCCAGTTCAGGGTAGCGTAAGATTTTTCTTACTGTATTCTGAAATCCACACCATGGACAAAGGTGAGGACTACCTAACAAGACCATAGCACACAGATGGAGCTACTGCTGTGACAGAAAGCGTGATGCATTTCAGAGGCAGGATACTTTGAAATACCTCCTGTTCAGGAAGGGGTAAAGCTTTGTGGTCTTAGACTGAAGGACATCTCCCACACAGGCACTTTTTTTTTTTTTTTAATGAAGGATAATAGAAGTTCTGTAAATGCAAACTTTCTTTTGCACAGAAGCAACCTAAAATGGAGACAACATATGTGGTTTGAATTTCCAAACCAAACAGTTCAGAGATCATCCTCAGAAGAAATATAGCGTCTCAAGGGCAGTGTATTTTTTGATTGCTTCGTCTTCTGAAAGTTGCAGTTAAGCTAAGGTATATGGTAAACCAAGAGAGAAAAGTTTAATGATGAACCCACAGAAGTCAATAAAAGTTTTCCTGTTGACTGCACTAGAAGCAGATTCAGTGCATACACCATTCATGAATTGAACAAATGGGTCCTAAAAACTCAGGTTGGCTGCTTAAAAGATCAAACAAATAAAGGAATAAAGTCACATAAGCTGTTTCTGTGTGTAAAAAGGCTGTGGGTTACAGGATTATTTTTTTATAGTATATCTCTATACCCTGAATAACCAAGTAAGCCTTAACTTCTGGAATCTTAATAGCCGTCTCATTGCTGAAGTCTAAAGGAAACCCAGAGGAAACTTAATAATATTAAAAGTTATTTTAAAGGGAGTTCACATTGGTTTGAAGGACATTTTGCTTCGCACACAATATCCATCATTGTAAATTCAGAGAACCTAGATTTAAATTCAGAAAACCTCCACACATCTTTACAGCCCTCAGTATATAAATCTAATAGTATTCTTAAAATGTCCACCAGTAAGGTATTAATCTTTTACAGATAAAATTAAAATTCTGAAAGTCATTGGAACAAAAAATAAAGAAAAATAGTAAAAATATTCCCTCTAGAAATGAGGGGAAACTTGGAACTTTGTGGTAAGAGGCTAGTTTGTCCATGTTGCAATGAATAGAGAATAGTCTGTACAGTTTTTCATATCTGACTTGCAACAGAAGATTGGAACATATAGAAATTAATGTTACTGAACTATTTAATAGTAACTCAAACACATGAAAAGAAGAATTGAAGAAATGCAAGACTAAAAAGCCATTTAAAATGAAATCAGAAGCTTCAACAAATATATTTTTCCCTTGCAGTCAAAAAAGTAATTATCAAAATTGTTCAGAATATGTTGCCAATTACTCTGCTCCATAACTGCTTACTTTCTCAGTTCTTCTCTTGCCTTTGCTGGGCTCTCTGTCACTGGAAACATCTTAAACCAATTTAAAGTGCTACACCTGAATAAACATGTTGTAAAAGTGTTTATGTATTGAAGTGGGTCAGTTCAAGGTATGGTATTTGGCTGGAACTTCTAATTTCTCTTTTTACTGCAAAAGGGCTGCCAGAAGGAGGAAGTCTGAGCTGAATTAATACATTTGTTACAGTGGAAGTAGAATGGAAACTACTTTAACCACAAATCAAGCTGCCTCTTTCATTTACGCCAGTGATAGAGTTTTTCTAAGAAATATAGACTCTGGCGTACAGCCACTGTAAGTTTGTGTTTGAAAAGGAAACCTATATGCTTATTTCTATAAGGTTTACTCCTATGCTTATTTGCAAGTCCTTTTTCAGGATGATTGAGTTAACAGCATTATATGTTTGTGAGGCAGATGCTCCTTCCTTGCCTGCATAGCAAACTTTTCCAGTCGGTTTAGAAGAATCCCCAGGCGCCCCGATGCCGCGCAGCACACGCGGTGCCTGTGCCCGCACCTTCCCGGTTAAAGGACCTCTGTGTCCCCCACCCAGCACAGCTGCACAGCTTCACATGACACTGTCTCATTTTCTGACGGTTGAAGGGCTCTGCATAATACACGTATGCACAAAAGTGTCTATGCTGCCAAAATAAATTCTGTTAAGAGCAAGGGTTTATTTGCTAAAATGTCACTGATGCAGTTTCAGTGACTTGTTTTGCTTTCTTTTCTTTTACTGAAGTTTCGATCCTATAATATAGTGAGGTTACCACACAGTCCTGACTGAACAAATATTTTAAAGAAATATGCACATCCCCTGGGAACGGAACCAGAGTCAATAATGTACATATTTCAAACTCTGTTCTTTTGAACGACTGAATGCCTTCCTACCTTTACTAGTGAATGAACATCAGTCTGGGTAACACTGCACAATATTTATTTTTAAAGCAGAAGTATATTTATTATCTACACTTTTCTTTGCTACCGACTTGCTTTGGGGATATAAGGTTCCACATCTCACATTCAAGTGATGCAAAAATTAGATGACCGCATTACATTATCCTTTCGATAGCCTATAGACTTTAATGGGGCTCATTTATTTTTCAGTTCTATACATGTGTACATGAGGCTGAATTAAAATATCTGAGTAATGCATAAGATATATATCACACAGAGACCGCAATTTTATGCAATGACAAACTACCTGTAAAGCTGTTGAAACTTTCGTAAATTGTTGAATTTTTTGTCTTTTAAGTTCCATTCAACAAAATGTGGTTAGGATTCTTAATCACATAAATTCAGGATTATGGGCAAAATCCTTGCTATGCTTCAGTCAGCAGTTGAAATCCCACTGTGGCTTCAAGAGGGGCAGAAATTCACCTTTTAACTTACAATTTCCATTACTTTATAGGTCGAAGTATCAATGTTAAATCTGCTGGCCTGATTGGAAGACATGGGCCTCAGTCAAAGCAACCATTCATGGTTGCGTTCTTCAAGGCAAGTGAAGTGCTTTTCCGTTCTGTCCGAGCAGCCAACAATAAAAGGAAAAATCAGAACCGCAACAAATCCAGTAGTCATCAGGAGTCTTCTAGGATGCCAAGTGTCGGGGGTAAGATGAAGCTATGATTTACTAGTCTGTTTACAGGAGTTATGGGCACCTGCTCAAATGCAGTGGAGTCACAGCAGCTTAACAAGATACTGCTCATTGGCTGAACTGTCAGAAACTGTGTTCCCACTCCATTTCTACCTTCTCCCCTAGCTTTGCTTAAATCTCTTTTGTTATGTTGGTCCTGAGCATGATCTGTTTGCTGTGAATCAGGTCACTTACTTACATGTTTCATGGACTCCTGGATGGTGAAATACCCAAATAGTTTGGGAAAGGCTGAATCTGAGCTTGAAACTAGTTCTAAGTAGTAGGCAACTGGATGAGATCTTTGCTATGCATGACAAAAAGGTAGAGAGAGTAGAGAGAAGGGTTGCACCCCAACTGCTTGTTGAGGAAGCCTCAGCAAAAGACAGTGTTTGGACTCTTGTTTAACTGCCTCTCAGCTGAAGAAGCCAAGATGTAACACAAAAATCTGAATACTGGAAATGATGAAGCTTAACCAATCTGTGAAAGTGTAAACTGTTTATGAGTTCAGACCAGCTGACACATACTGATGTAAATACACAGTGTATCCCTGAACAGGAGTGAATTTGGTCCCTTATTTACCTGAAAGGTACTGACAATAATGCATGTGAAAATGTTGTCAGTCCCATTAGAGCCTGGAGGAAGTTTTCCTCCAGTTCTTTCCTGAAATGCTCCTTCAGCTGGAGGCACAGAGTCACTTTCTAAGTATTCTCATTTTTGAACAAACATTTCTACTTTTTGTGGACAGGATGTGAAAATGTATCTTTCTAAAAGCATGGGAGATCATAGAATCATAGAATACCAGGTTGGAAGGGACCCCAAGGATCACCTGGTCCAGCCTTTCTTGGCAAAAGCACAGTCTAGACAAGATGGCCCAGTACCCTGTCGAGCTGAATATTAAGTGTCCAATGTTGGAGAATCCACCACTTCCCTGGGGAGTTTATTCCAGCGGCTGATTGTTCTCATTGTGAAAAATTTTTCTCTTGTGTCCAGTCGGAATCTCCCCAGGAGTGACTTGTACCCATTACCCCTCGTCTTTTCCATGTGACTCCTTGTGAAAAGGGAGTCTCCATCTTCTTTGTAGCTCCCCTTTAAATACTGGTACATGGTGATAAGGTCTCCCCCAAGCCTTCTTTTCTCAAGGCTGAACAAACCCAGTTCTCTCAGCCTTTCCTCATATGGCAGGCTTCCCAGTCCTCTGATCATCTTTGTGGCCCTTCTCTGGACCCTCTCCAGCCTGTCCACACCTTTTTTGTGTAGCATGGACCAAAACTGAACACAGTGTTCCTGGTGTGGCCTGACAAGCACTGAGGAGAGTGGGATAATGACTTCTTTATCTCTGCTGGTGATGCCCTTTTTGATGCAACCCAGCATCCTGTTGGCTTTCTTTGCTGCAGCAGCACACTGTTCACTCATATTGAGCTTGTTATCCACCAGGACCCCCAGATCCCTTTCCACAGATCTACCCAGCCAAGTGGATCACAGTCTGAGCTGCACTCCTGGATTATGGTTTCCCAGGTGCAAGACCTTACACTTGTCTTTGTTAAACTTCATAAGGTTCTTGTTAGCCCAGTCTTCTAGCCTATCCAGGTCATCCTGCAGGGTGGCTCTCCCTTCCAGAGTGTCTACTTCCCCACTCAATTTGGTATCATCTGCAAACTTCATAGGGGTACACTTGATACCATCATCCAGATCACTTATGAAGATATTAAACAGTGTTGGGCCCAATATTGATCCCTTGGGGACGCCACTTGTGACAGCTGCCCGTTTGAAAAGGAGCTATTTACCACCACCTTCTGGGTGCAGCCTGTTAACCGGTTCCTCACTCAATGCGCAGACCACTTTCCCAATCATGTGCTTCATTTGACTTGTGATAGCCCCCAGGAGGATTCATTCCACAACTTTTCCAGGGACTGAAGTAAGACTGATGGACCTATAATTTCCTGGATCCTCCCTTAAGCCCTTCTTGTAGATGGGGGTGACACTAGCCTTCTGCCAGTCTTCTGGGATGTCTCCCAATCTCCATGACTTCTCAAAGATTATGGAAAATGGCCTCACAATGACATCAGCCAGCTCTCTCAACACCGTTGGGTGGATAGTGTCAGAGCCCATTGATTTGTAGGGGTCAAGCTCCTGTAATTAGTTCACATACCCACTCTTCCTTCACTGATGGATCTAGTACCAGCATATCAAAACCTCAATATAGATGCTATTATTAAGCCCCTTGGATGTCTACAAGTAAGCAAATCAGTATTTAGTGGAAAGAATTCAGCCCTGGAGTGGAACACATCTATTTGATGAGAACTGTTATGAGCATTACGCATTACTTATATCCATCTCAGAACCTCAAAAGTGGCAGACAAAAGACCCCTCTAATGTAATGCATAAGCCTGTCCCTGATCTTCTGCACAAGGATGAATTTTGCCTTAACAACCACAAACGGGTACTGAATTGCTACAGAAGTCATTGAAATTATTTGAATAATTTATCATTCTAAACTTTATTTAAAGTTTATCTGGTGATCTACTGGAAAAAAATCCCGCTGTAAGGTTAAAAATTAATATTAACACTTATCTTGAAAAAAATGCTTTTAGTCTACTGCTTCAGTAGTGGGCTCAATTTTATTTGTATACGATGTATAGGTAGAAAAAATACTGTGCTATTTCTCTAGTTTCCACTGAGGACATGGAGCATTGTTATTTCTGAGGTAGATGACTTAGAGAGATGCACACATTACCTCTGAGGACCCTAGTTTTTGAAACACCCCTGATATTTGTTAAGGTACCAGAGATCTCTATTTACAACTGTTTTGTTTTTTTCCAGGGTTTTTGGAGTATTGTCAAGTTTTCTGATATTCTGTATAGCAATTTCACAAGCAGCTCATCTGCGCATTTAACTTCTAACCCCTTACTAGTCAATATTGCAGGGGAGCAGTTATAAATAAATAATGAAAAAAGTCCCAAACTAGAAAATTTTAGCTTTTTACTAGTAAAAAGAAATTACATGCTCTATAGCAGAAAGGCATTTTTAAAATTATTCATTATTTATAAAGTTATATTGACTAAACATTCTCTCTTCATTAACTGCTTAAACTTCTGATCTTTTGAAACAAGGTAGGCTAAAAATTGACTGAGCATCTTCAGATGTGGTTTAAGCATGCACATCAGTTAAGCTTGCTAGCTGATGTTCCCTCTAAATTCATTCTGAACTGAATCTGCATTTTTTTCTGCAGAAACTGTTCCTTCTATTTTACTGCTATGGTATGAGGCACTTTCCTATTTTCATAAAAGGGCTTTAGGCTTAATGACACAACATGAGGGTGGGGTTTTTGGGGTTTTGTTTGTTTTTTTGTTTGGTTGTTTTTAAATACAGTCAGAATTAACTCCAAAATGCAACCTCTTACCTCAAGGGTAAGTAATATTCTCTCTGCACAAAAAAATATTTTAAAAAGATTTTTCATATTTCCTGGAAAATGTCTACTAATTTTGAGAATTACATTATTTTGAGGGAGGGGAAAATCATTGAAGTACACGATACATACAAGATGTATAAATATACTACTTTTAGATTCAATCCCATCTTTCTAGTCCATGAGCAAATGAGAATTGAACAGATCTGAAGAACTGTCTGTATGTCTCAAAACACCAGTCAGCTTCATCTGTGCATCCAGTTGTGCTCCCGAGTTGTTGTAAAACAAGAAAAATCAGAACATCTCTAGTGAAATAAGCATTATGAAACAAATTTTCTCCTAACCTCTTTAGGCCCCAGTCTGCATAAGTGTAAAGGTGCATCACTATACATGTTGATCCATGCCAGATCTCTTTCAAAAAAGATTGCAGTCCAAGAAAACCATACTGCTAAAACAAAATTAGGTTAAGAAGCAATGGCATGTGCAGTTGCATCAAAGGCAGGGGCAGCGACCTCTGACTGGAGATGGAGGCAGCAAGATATGGGCAGGCTGGAATAGGTGGCAAAGCTGAAGGCAGATAAGTAATCACAGCCTCACACAGCAATGTCCTCCGTAGCAAAACTGCTTGGAGGAGTAGCTCCTGCACCATGGCAAATCAGCTTCCTTGCAGTTTGCGTCAACAGTCCCCATATCACAAAAACTTCTTTTATTTGGGTGCCATTAATGATCAGTGATGGGATTTTTCATGCTATAAGTGATTAAAACACTTCTTCTTTTAATAACTATTGCAACAATACTCATTAAAATCTGCAGATGAGCACACTGATGGCTACAAAGGCAATGTACAGATTCTATCCAGATGCTTCAGTGTGCAAAAAAGACGCGGAGAGAACACCTTCTTATTTCCAGATCTTCACATCTTTGCAGAATACAGGCAGAGTCCTTCCATGGGGACAGCCTGTTATTAGGGAAAAACTGTGCCTTTTTCCTCCTATTCACCAGCCCCAGGAACTGTACAAGTGCAGTGGATATGCTGCATCGCTGCAGGCTTGTAGGAGAAGGTTGATTAGTATAACTCATCTATTCATATTTAAACCAAAGAAAAACCCAAAGAAATCTGTCCATCATCTTGCTCATGGCAGCCTGTCTATAGGCCATATTCAATTCTCATTTGCTCCTTGATGCAAGACACTGTTGACGTAAACGACATGGTGATGGGCAAACATAATTGTGTGATGTAGGTCCTTGTTTCTAAGCTTGTTCCATAATCTTTTATCTACAGTATCTAAGTCAGACACTGACAATGAAAAATGCTCATCTACATAGCCAGAGGTTATGTAGCCAGACCCAGATAGGTATGCTGTCATTTACATGTCACAGGTTTTTGTTATACTTTTCTCTGCAGATCAGTCCCAACTTTACTACAGTCATGCCTTCTTTTTCTCCTTCCTTTTTTCTTCTTCCTTTTCTGTTTCTTTTTCCCCCCTTTTTTTTCCTTCTTATTTATTTTTTCTCTTTTTCCTTCCCTTTGCCCTTGGCTTTTGTCTTGTTCCTTTTGCCTCTTGGCTTT